AGAGCTGGGCAGGGTCTCAGGCCTGGAAGAGCCAGGGGGCTGCAAGGCCCCGCTGAGGGGCACTGGCAGAGCTGGGCAGGGTCTCAGGCCTGGAAGAGCCAGGGGGCTGCAAGGCCCCGCTGAGGGGCACTGGCAGAGCTGGGCAGGGTCTCAGGGCCGGAAGAGCCGGGGGGCTGCAAGGCCCCGCTGAGGGGCACTGCCGGAGCCGGGCAGGGTCTCAGGACCGGAAGAGCCGGGGGCTGCAAGGCCCCGCTGAGGGGCACTGCCGGAGCTGGGCAGGGTCTCAGGCCTGGAAGAGCCAGGGGGCTGCAGTGAAGTGCAGCAGCAGAGCTGTATGAGGATGTTGCCCACGCCCTGCCCACGCCTCTGTAACCAGAGCTACCCGTCTGCCTGTACAAACACCACACAAGGGCCACCTAATCTGGGGAGGGGCACAGCACAGAGCAGCCTGCCAGCCGTGCCCTGTTTAGCTCCTGGGACTGGCATTTCCACAGCAGCTAGGAGTGCCGGAGCTGGGTGGGGGCAGGCGGGGTCTTTGCTGCCTGGCTGTTCAGTTCTGGAGCGAGTTCTGTGCAGCTGCACGGAGGGCCGGGCTGGGGGGTGTGTATCAATAACCTCACAGGTGGTGGTGGATGAGAACTCACCAGGAACTCCCGCCACCCCAGAAATGCGGGCGAGTCCGCGGCCCAGTCTAACCTGCCTGCTGGCTGTCAGAACTGGCCTGACACCAGGTGCCGCATCCTAGGAGAGCCTCAGGAGTTTCCTAGAAAGAAGCCTGATCTGATGGTCAGAGCTGGGGAGCCAGGATGCCTGGGTTCTCCTCCGGCCCAGGAGGAGAGAAGCTCCATGCTCAAAGCAGGGGTATTACGATGTCCTACAGCTGCGGGAACTTGGAGGAAGTGACTGACCCAAGGTCATGCAGTGAGTCAGTGGCAGAGCAGGGAACAGAGCCCAGGGCTGTATCTGCACGGAGCCCCTTGCACACCCCGTCCACCAGCCCTGCAAAGTCGGCTCCGTCCGTGCTGGCGCTCGTACCAAGCAGGCGGGTTTACAGCCTGGCACTCGGCGACCTTTGGGCAGAGCGCTCAGTCCTCGCAGCTCTCCTGGCCCTCGCTCACTGGGGCTGGGCTCCAGCTGCTGCATTTGGAGCCGGGCTCGGATTTCGAGGCACCCAAGTGCATGGGTGGAAGTTCCTCTCTGCTCTAGTGCCTAACCCACCATGCTGTGCCCAGGCAAGCCCTGCGGGGAAGGGGAGCTGCCGCACCTCTCCCACGAGCAGCACTGAAGCCTGGAGGCTGCACAAGTCACCCTGGGGAACCTGCCCTGCTAGTCCGTGCAGAGCGGCCCAGAGCCAGCTGCACCCCCAGCCCAGGCTGCTGCGCTCGGGGCCAGCACCAGGTGAGGCGCTAATTTTAGCCGGCCTGCCAGACAGGCTTTGGCATCAAGCACACACCCCTGCAGGCAGCGGCAGCCCGCCCGCCCAGCGGGACAGCAGGCCCCAAACACAGTGCGGGGGTGCAGCAAGGGGACCCAGGAGGGACCCTCTGCAAAGTGGGGACGTGATACTGACCCTCCCTTGGTAAATCCCCCGGAGAGCTCCAGATGGAAGGGGCTCTGCAAGTGCAAAGCAAGGGGCCCTGGCCATCGGCCCAAGGACAGACCACCCCAGGGTGCTGCGGCCAGTGGTGGAAATTCCCCGCTCCTGCCGCTTGTTTCCACAGGCCCCGCCGCGCTAAAGCAGCTGCTCTCAGCTGATGAACAGGTGGCTCCATGAGAAGCAGGGGGGTGCTGAGCGAGAACATGGAGATGGGGGGGGCCCACGCTCCAGCCCTCTGACCCAGGTCTTAAGACGCTTCTTGCCATTGCCCCCCCGGTGTCCAGGCCCCGCTGTGCTCAGGCTGCCTTCGCCAGCAGAAACGTGGTGGGGCTGGGCTGGGGGCTCAGGGCAGGCTCTGGCCTGGAGGGGAAGGGTGGACGTGTGGCCACGGTGCTGGACGAGGACTCAGGAGACTGGCGCTCAGTTCCTGGCTCTGCCACGGACTCAGTGGCATGACCTTGGCCAAGTCACACAGGCCTGAAGTTTCCCATGAGCTTGGCAGGTTCTGAGCCCTTGTAACTCTGCCGCCCCCCCCCCCCCCCCACTCAGCCTGGGCCTTTCCCCAGCCGTACAGTGGAGAGGGAGACTCCTCCCCCGCACCTGGTCTATGCTGAACACTGCTTCAGGGACCGACCGGGGGGTTCTCCCGTCAGCGGAGGGACCCGTCTCCCGAGAGGCTCCTCCCAGCAACATAGCCGTCTACCCCAGGGCCTAGCTCAGTTCAACTGCGTCACTGGGGGGGGGGATTTTTCCAACCAGGCCCCAGACTGTGAGCTCCCCTTTGGAGCAGGGTCTGTCTCTCTCTGGGTCTGTGCAGCACCTGACACAACAAGGCCTGATCTTCAATGCCACAGCACATCTAGGTCTTGGGTTCAAATCTGCATCAGCTCAGTGGTTCCCATGTGCACGCTGTCTTCTGGCCTCTGTGAGAGACGAGGTTGGTGGGTCCCTAGTGGACAAGTGTGCGGAATATCACAGCTTGGCAAACTCTCAGCAGAGGCCAGGGACTGACTGTGCCATAGAGAGGGACGTGCCCCCTGCGGAGCACCAGCTGGTCAGGGCGGGGGTGCCGCTAGGCCTGTGCCCCCAGTGATGCTGATCTCCAGCACTGCTGGGAATGTTATTTCTAACGGAGTTTAGTGCTGATGAAAGCAAGTGGCTGCTGTGGGTGGGTGCCTGAGAACTGCTGGGGGTGACTCTGGATTCAGACCCCCGACCTTCTCCCAAGCTGCGACAAGCTCCGCAGAGCAAGCTGTGATTCACTTCACAAACAGCATCTCGCTGGCTGTGTGACCAGTGCCCAGCCAGCAGGCCACGAAATTAAGTGACTTCGTCCTGCGAGACTCATCCAGGGTACGTCTCCACTGCAATGAAACACCGTGACTCAGGCTATGGGGCTGTTTAACTACAGTGTAGACACTTGGGCTTGGGTTGGAGCCCAGGCTCTGGGACCCGACGAGGGGCGACTGTAGGCCATCTGTGGCCACTGCTGACCTCACAGCTCTGATGCCCTGGCCAGATGCCAGACTGGGGAATTCCAAATTCCCCCAATGCTCTGTTGGAGACAGGATTCTCCTTCACTTGCTGTCCTAAACTTGGGCCGTGTATGCAGACTGTTGCCATGTTCCACCCCAGAGGTGGCTGCACTATGGTGGTCGGACTTAGTTCTCTCCCACATGTATTGCAGGATCAAACCTGGCCCTGGTGCAGCTGGTGACAGGTAAAAGGAGGGCTCCTGGCCCCGTTTGTCAGTACATGGACTGCGCTGCCACCTCCCCTGGGTAATAAACAGCCAACTGGACTGTAGATCCCAGCCCTGGCCACACACACACAGCTGCAGGCTGGAGCTTCCCGGCCTGAATCTCAGGAGCGGGTGTCGGGGTGAGTGGTGGCCCCGGCGGCAGGTCTAGGCCTTGAGGCCCCTCCCTCCTCCTTGGCTTTGTTTGCGATTCCAAGGAACAGGCTCCGTTCCTGGACGCTGCCCTGCCCACGCCCCGATCCCTCTCTCTTGACTTCTGGTTGCTCCTGAGCTCCTAATGGGACCCAGCTGTTCCTGGTGCTGCAGCCGTAGGTGGGGCTGGGAATGTAACCGTTGGAACAAGCTGCTCTATTCCATCCAGGCCTGTAGGGCCCACAGGCTGGCTGGGGTGGGGGGAAGCAGGGGAGGGCCCTGGCCCTGCAGCCTGTAATGAAGACGCTCGTGGGTGCACCGAGTCTGACCGTTCTCTGCCAGTGGGATCGGAGGCTCTGCCTCACTTGGCTTGGCTGGACTCAGACCTTGCTGTGGTGCTGGGCAAGCGTCCCCGTGTCTGACCCAGAGACCTCGATCCCAGACACTGACACTAGATCAGCAGCGGCCCCTCCCCCAGCCGGGTCAGAACTCTGCAGCCTGGGCCCATGCAGCCCTTGTCACATAGGGTCCTATGGGTGAGAGGCACAGGCTGGTGCCATCGCCTCTGTGATGCCCTCCCCAGGGCCAACCTTACAGGGGGGCACCGTGGTCCAGAGGCAAGGAGCGGGGTGGGCCTGGGGTGTGAGGCCATGGAAGGGAACTCAGGGCAATGGCGGGGAGGCAGCAGGACCCAGGGGTGATGGGGGGGAGAGGCAGTGGGGACCAGGGAGGACAGATGCGGAGCCCCGGGAGGCAGTGAGGGCCAGGGGTGATGGAGGGATGGGGGTTGGAGGAAGCAGCTGGGGCCAGGGACAGTGGAGGAATGGGTAGGGGGCGGGGTCAGGGCGATGGAGAGATTGGATGAATGGACTAGATTGCAGGCTAGATTGTTGGGCTCAATGGGTAGTGATCAACGGCTCCATGTCTAGTTGGCAGCTGGTATCAAGCGGAGTGCCCCAAGGGTCGGTCCTGGGGCCGGTTTTGTTCAACATTTTCATTAATGATCTGGATGATGGGATGGGTTGCACCCTCAGCAAGTTCGCAGACACTAAGCTGGGGGAGTGGTAGATACGCTGGAGGGTAGAGATAGGGTCCAGAGGGACCTAGACAAATTGGAGGATTGGGCCAAAAGAAATCTGATGAGGTTCAAAGACAAGTGCAGAGTCCTGCACTTAGGATGGAAGAATCCCATGCACCACTACAGGCTGGGGACCGACTGGCTAAGCAGCAGTTCTGCAGAAAAGGACCTGGGGATTACAGTGGACGAGAAGCTGGATATGAATCGGCAGTGTGCTCTTGTTGCCAAGAAGGCTAACGGCATTTTGGGCTGCATTAGTAGGAGCATTGCCAGGAGATCAAGGGACGTGATTATTCCCCTCTATTCGACGTTGGTGAGGCCACATCTGGAGTATCGCGTCCAGTTTTGGGCCCCACACTACAGAAGGGATGTGAACAAATTGGAGAGTCCAGCAGAGGGCACAGAAAATGATTAGGTGGCTGGGGCACATGATTTATGAGGAGAGGCTGAGGGAACTGGGATTGTTTAGTCTCCAGAAGAGAAGAATGAGGGGGGATTTGATAGCAGCCTTCAACTACCTGAAGGGGGGTTCCAAAGAGGATGGATCTAGACTGTTCTCAGTGGTAGCAGATGACAGAACAAGGAGTAATGGTCTCAAGTTGCAGTGGGGGAGGTTTACGTTGGATATTAGGAAAAGCTTTTTCTCTAGGATGGTGGTGAAGCGCTGGAATTGGTTACCTAGGGAGGTGGTGGAATCTCCATCCTTAGAGGTTTTTAAGATCAGGCTTGACAAAGCCCTGGCTGGGATGATTTAGTTGGGAATTGGTCCTGCTTTGAGCAGGGGGTTGGACTAGATGACCTCCTGAGGTCCCTTCCAACCCTGATATTCTATGATTCTATGATGGGTGGGGGGCCAGGGCAGGCAGTGGGGGCCAGGGGCGATGGAGGGGGCAGGGGAGGCAGTGGGGGGCCGGGGTGATGGAGGGTGGGTGGGGCCGGGGGAGACAGGGGGGGCCAGGCCAATGGAGGGAGGGTGGGGGGCCAGGATGCCAAATAACAAGTTCGCCAGGGCCCCATTTCCCCTGAGGCCGGCCCTGCCCCTCCCACCAGGGAGACGGCTCCCTGGGGGCACGGTAGCGGGTAGAGCACCAGGGGCACAGCGGCGGGGGGTGGGGTGGTACCTGGAAGAGCTGGTAGGCGTAGATGTCGTTCATGTCGATATTGATCATCTTCAGCATGTCCTTGATCTCCTTGAAGGACATCTTGTTGTCCTTGTTCTTGTCGGCTCGGTGCAGGATGTCATGGATCCAGATGCAGGAGATGTAAGGAAAGAACAGGGGGGGACAGACTCCCGGTGCCCCCTCCCCCTCTAGGCCAGGCCTGCCTGGGGCTGTAATGAACTGGGAGGTGTGATGAATTCACTCCAGTCTTTGCACGCAGTGGAGCTGAGGTCGGCTCTAAGGGCCTGACCCAAAGACCCTGCAGCCAGTGAAAATGACAATGCTTTGAGCAGAGACCTGGCTTCCTGCTGTGCCCCCAGCAGCTGTCCCACTCCCAGCGCCCCCGGGCAGTCCCAGCCCCCGCGCAGCTGCCTGATGGTGGTGCTAGATCATCCAGTCATTTCACACACAGCTGTTGCCCCAGTGCAACTTGTACAAAACCTACAGCCGCTAGGCGGTGGAGGGTTTTCCTGGCTATCAGCAGGAGCCCTCCGTGCCAGGGCTCAGGGTTTGCACAAGGGGCCCTGTCCTCACTCCTTTGATGCATGAGGGGCAGAGAGGGGATGTGCCCTACACCAGGGCATGGCACAGCCAGGAACAGATTCCAGCCCCTGCCTCACCCGGCTGCTTCCTGGTGCATCACTAGGGCTTTGAGAGCCCCAGGTGGGCAGGGCTATGTGGGGAGAAAGCATCAGCCTGAGGCTGGGGGACAGGAGGTCTAGTCCCAGCTCTGCCAGGCCCTCTCCAGCCCACCTGGCAGATGAATGAGAGTCCCGCTGCGTGCTTGGCCCAGCAAGGTGTGTGGGGCAGGGCTGGAGGGTCACCATGCGCCCTGCCCTGTGTGCTTAGCCCAGCCATGTTTGCACTCCAGGAGGTGTGGCCAGGGCAGGGCTGGGCCCCATTGTAGGGTCAGTTACGGTCTGGGAGCCCAGGCACTCAGGGCCATTGACAGCGGTGTAACCCTGCTGGCCTGGGTCAGGCCTGGTTTGCGTGGGGTACGTGCAAGGAGACAGACCCCGGGCAGCGGACCCGTCTCCTAACAGCAGGCTGGAACCCCAGATCTCAGCCACCCCTCCCCATCATCCATGGCGACTGTGCCCAGCCCCATGCGCGGGGACAGGGGGCGGAGACCCTGCCGGTCAAGGGAAAGGATATTGATCAAGCTTCTCCCGCTGGCTCATGGCTTCCACCTTGGCCATCAGCTTTTTCAGCCCCCGTGCCCACCTCTTCGCCTCCTCCTCACTCCGGGCAGCCAGGTCCAGGTTCTTCCGCCGGCCCTTGAAGACGATGGTGAGGCACCACGTCTCCGGGAAACAGCGGCCGTGCTTGCGGAGGCCCTCGGACTGGCAGCCCTCCCGCACGGCTTCCATGTGCGTGATGGAGACTGCAGGAGACAAGGCACAGCAACGGGGACGCGGTCAGAGTCCTGTGCTGTGCCCTGGGCCACTCGCGTCTGGGCTTTGGCCTCTCGTCCCCACCTCCCTCTAGCCTGTGAGAGCCGGCCTACGGCCAGCGGGGCCCAGCCACCGACCGGGCCCAAGAGAGCAGCACATTTCAAGCGATCAATGAAATGTGCTGCTAGGGAACCCACCAGCCCCCACTCCGTGACTATGCTCAGAGGGCTGGAAGGGAGGGGAAGGGATCCCCCAACATATGCACCAATGACTAGCCTACCCTGACATCCCTCGCCCCATTATCTTGGGCTTGTCCCATATGTTCTGCTCCCTCCCTAAACCGCAGCCAAGAATGTCCCTTCCCCCATTCCTCTCCTGCCCAGCAACTCTGCCCCGTTCCCTGGTCCCTAGCGGGGAACTCAAACCAACTCCTGCTTGAGGGTCTGAAATGCTCAGCTACGTTGATGGAGATTTTCCATCTCTGCCAGCTTAGGCCTCCTGGGCCCAAACCAACAACCCCCATCCAGCCCTGCAGGCCCTGGGGAAAGCTTGGCTCCACCGTTTTCATTACCCCCAACTGGGCCTGGCCACTGGGGTCCCACCTGGCCTGGGGGACTTGTTCCTGTAGGGCTGCCAGCACCAAGCGCGGGAGAGTTCAGAGAGCCAGTACACTCCTGACCCTGATCTGTCTCTCCAGCTCGTCCTTCAGGGCAGCTCTGCGCAGGCGCCTGCCTCTGGAGCCAGGGGAAATCTGGACCGCAGCCTGGCACTGCCCAAAGGCTGGTAAAACCAGAGCCAGGATTGCAGCAGAGCTCAGGTTTTCAAGGGTCCAGCCCCCATCCCAGGGGCAGACGGTCAAAGCAGCGCAGCTCCCAGCATGCCGAGCCCTTGGAAAGGGCAACCCTGGGCCAACGTGGGCTTCCGCAGCACGCCCCAGCAGGTCAGCTCCGAGACCTGGGGAAACTCACCCGCAGCAGCACCAGCCAGCTCGGCCAGTCTTGCCCCTGATCTGCAGCGGCGTGTTCCCCTGCCCTCTCAGGGCACTTGGGAACTGGAGCTGGGACGGAGCCCTGCTGGCTGGCCCTGAGCTAGCGCTACACGGTGGCGCTGAGGTGGCGCGAGCGGCAGGAGGCGTTAGCCATCCCGAGTACATCCCTAGGGCCTTGTACAGGCTCGGACCAGGCATTAGCCCCTCCTGCCACTTATATCACCACGCTGCACAGCGTGGTCAGCGTGCTGGCTCGCTTGGACCTAGCACCGCTGTCTCCTGGCGTGGGGACTCCCCCCACGCTCCAGGGCAGACCCACCTTTACCTACGCAGCAAACTCAGAGCCACGGGCAGCACGTTCCCAAGGGCTCGGGGCCATGACCAGGGCTCTCAGGAGAGCTGGGCGCACGCTGGGAGCGGAGCTCTTTGGAGAACATGGCCCCAGCCCTCCTTGCTCTGCCAGGGCCCGTGTTCAGTACATTCCAGGAGCAGGGGCCTTAAGAGCCATCCGCCAGGCTGCCCTTCTCCAGAGACAGCTGAGACCAAGGACGTAACCCTATCTGCTGGGATGCCATCTTATGGGGATCTTGCAAACTCTCCTCCTCCCACCTGCTCTCGGCGGACTCTCTAGAGATGATGCTGTGAGGTGCTGAGCGCCCTCCGCTCCCCAGGACTTTGCAGGATCAGGCAGCCAGATTTTCACAAGCCCTCGGCCCGCTGGGTGCTGAGCTCTTGTGAAGTTTTGGCCCGGCTAGTGGGTGCTGACACACGACAATCTGACCTCAGGAGCTCGGTCAGGAGTGTCTGACTTCACCCAGTGCTCATGTGCAGAGATGGGAGGAGCAGCTGCAGGCGGAGTGTGATGGGCAGCTGAGCCAGGGTCTGGATCCTATTCCTGGCTCTCGTTAGCATTTTATTTAATCAGTAATGGATCTGGCCTATTGGCTGTGTTTGTTCTGGCTGTTTTAATACCAGAAGGGCATAGGTAACATCGGGGGAATTCCGCAAAACAAAGATCTGAGGAGCTAGAGAGACACTTAACAGACCCAAGTCAGCCTGCAAACGCGTCTCTGGCCGTTTCACTTTGGGCACCTGGGACAGTCCCACGGGACCCCTGGGACCAGTGCTGTGAGTGAAGCACCCACAGTCATGCTGCAGGACTGGGCCCCCCGCATGACCAAGCAAGGATGGAAAGAGGCGTCAGAGCCACCTGCATGTATGTGAAGGGTATGGGGGAGAGAGGGGTTATTTAGAGTGGCCCTGGGAATAACAGACCTGTGGCCATCACCTGCTGCAAGTGAGCAGAGGAGATTGAATCCATCTCCAGAGAAAGCAGTTTCTAGCAGTGAGCTCGCAGGCTGGGGAAGGGAGGGAGCCCAGTTGTTGTGACGCTGAGCTAGGAGGCCAGGTTTGCAAGGACTCAGCACCCAATATGACCCCCGCGCACTGAGTTCTTTGGAAAATGGAGCCCCAGGTGAACAAAACAGCATGGGAAGTTCTGCAGGGACGGGCCTGGCCCTGGGAGCAGGGAACTGGCTAAGCAGCAGTTCTGCAGAAAAGGACCTGGGGATTACAGTGGACGAGAAGCTGGATACGCGTCAGCAGTGTGCCCTCGTTGCCAAGAAGGCCAACGGCCTATTGGGCTGCATTAGTAGGAGCATTGCCAGCAGCTCGAGGGAAGTGATTATTCCCCTCTATTCGGCACTGGTAAGGCCACATCTGGAGTATTGCATCCAGTTTTGTCCCCCCCCCGAGAAAGGATGTGGACAAATTGGAGAGTCCAGTGGAGGGCAATGAAAATGATTAGGGGGCTGGGGCACATGACTTATGAGGAGAGGCTAAGGGAACTGGGATTGTTTAGTCTCCAGAAGAGAAGAATGAGGGGAGATTTGATAGCAGCCTTCAACTACCTGAAGGGGGGTTCCAAAGAGATTGGAGCTCAGCTGTTCTCGGTGGCAAACGACAGAACGAGGAGTAATGGCCTCAAGTTGCAGTGGGGGAGGTCTAGGTTGGATATTGGGAAACACTATTTCACTAGGAGGGTGGTGAAGCACTGGAATGGGTTACCTAGGGAGGTGGTGGAATCTCCTTCCTTAGAGGTTTTTAAGGTCAAGCTTGACAAAGCCCTGGCTGGGATGATTTAGTTGGTGTTGGGCCTGCTTTGAGCAGGGGGTTGGACTAGATGACCTCCTGAGGTCTCCTCCAACCCTAATCTTCTATGATTCTATGACATGGGTATATTTTAATCTCTAATTTCTGTCGTTCTAATCCCAGACCAGACAGAGCCCATGTGAGCGTAGGATTTGCTGTCTCCAGCGGCGATACTGACAGCAGTTGCTGTAGTGAAGCATCAGAGCAGTGTCTAGGGTCACCATGTCCAGGATCGAGGACGGGGTGTCTCTGTTCACCCAGAAATCAAACCCAATGCTGTCGATGGGGGAGCGGGAGGGGTTTCTGAGCAGAGCGATGGGACTTTGTGGCTGGGAGGTAAAGGATGAAAATGCACCTTGGCAAACCTGTTAACTGTGTCTGCTGTCCTGCCCGGGCACAGAAACAGGAGCATAGAGCTGAGAACCTGCTCGGCTCATGCAGCTGGATTTTACAGGGTTCCAGGCTTGGGCCAGCTGAGTTCTGTGCTTGGGTGGGTGAATCTAGATTCCAGGTTCTGTGCTGGGGTTCTAGGCTGTGTTGGCTGGAGTTTATGTTCTAGTTTCTGGCCTCGTGTTCTAGGTTATGTGCTCTACATTATGTATTGGGCAGAGCGTTGTGTTGTAGAATTTGCATTGGTTGGGGGTTGGGTTCTAGGTCAGTGGGTGGGAGGGGTTCTCGGTTCTGTGTTGGACGTGGGTTGGGTTCTAGGTTCTGAACTGGGATCTGGGTTTCTTGTTTCCAGGAGCATTTGAGTCTCGGCCACTGGGACTTACAGATCTGCTTGGAGCGAGCCCGTTTAAAGCAGCGCTCAGACAAGATGGTCAAGCCGTCCTCCTGCAAGCGGTAGAACCGCTCCTTCTTCCGTCTGCGTGACTTGATCTTCCAGAGAAAGGAGCCCTTCAGCATCACCTTGATGTCCTCATCATCTGTCAGGCCTGCAAGGAGCAAAGGGGAAGGACCCATCAAGCCCCCCAAAGCCACCACTTCTGCAGTAAGTCTAGTAACTCGGCTGCCAGTGCCACATCACTCTGCCCGCCCAGTGCCTGAGGTTTGCCAGCTGACCCGGGCCCTGCGAGAAAGGAGTGTGAGGGGCATCTGTCCACTGCACAGTCAGCGTTCTGTCCTGCCTTGCAGGGAACCTCTGCCCCAAACCAACGAACACAACAAACACCAGCTGAAAGGCATGGGCAGAATCCACTCTAGAACGTGGGGCCTCCCGTTCCATCCAACCCAGGTGCCTACAGCTTGAGTTCCTGGAAATTCTCCTCTCACTGCAGTAGAGGTCGTACACCCACAGCTGCACTCGCTCGTACACGTACACACACACACACACACACCTCACTGTAAGGGTCCTGGTAATATTCTTGCAGGAGAAACATGAATCGGGGGCTGGGCCGTGGCAGGCAAGTCAAGGAGAAGTGGCTGTAACAGCTCTTTGCCCTTCGATAGCGCCTTTCAGACCAGGGCCTCGCTGCACTTCATAAACAGTAAGGATTTTAGTCTCACACCACCCCTGTGAGGTAGGTCCCCATGTTATCCATGGGGAAACTGAGGCCCAGAGGGGTGGTGACTTACCCAAGGCAGCCAGCAGGTCAGTGGCAGAGCCAGAAACAGAACCCAGGCATCCTGACTTCCAGCCCCCATTGCTACAACTACTAGATCCTGCTCCCCTCCCAGAACCAAGAATGGAGCCTGGGAGTCCAGATCCCCAGTCCTTCGGCTCTAACCCTCACTCCCCTCCCAGAGCTGGAAATGGAACCCAGGTGTCCTGATTCCTAGGACCCTGCTCTAACCTTAGACCACACTCCCTCCCTTAAATACCTTGGGCCAAATTCACTGACGACTGAGGCCTTGTGAACATGAGCGTGTTGCAGCAGAAGCAGGGCCTCAGGGGTGGATTGAAACCAGTGCAGAGCTCAGGGTGCACACTCACTTCGGTATGAAAGAGCCTCTTCCGGTGCAGCGGGAGTCAGCTGGGAAGAGGTTTAAGTTAAACCGACACAAGCGTCTCTTAAACTGAAATAAGCGGGTCCACACACAGGTGAGCTGCCCAGGAGCTATCTGCTAGACTGAAGGACTTGCCTGGCCTCCATCACCACAGGGTCTGAGCCCCTCAGAGCTTTAAGGTATTTATCCTCACACACCCCAGTGAGGTCAGGCAGTGCTAGGACCCCCATTGTACAGATGGGGAAGGGAGACACAGAGAGGTTAAGGAACTTGCCCAAGGTTACACAGGCAGTCTGTGGCAGAGCTGGGAATTGAGTCCCCGGCTAATGGCCTAGCCACAGGGCCATCCTTCCTCTCACCTAAGCTGCTGTAACTTTCCCAGGCAGCCGATGCCGAAGGGGCTGCATCACAACTGAAATCAGTGGAATTTCACCACTGACACCTGTGGCCAGGTCCACTTCCTTTCTCTACAGGGGTCTCAAACGTCTTTGCACCACAACCCCCTTCTGACAACAGTAATTGCTACACAACCCCAGGACGGGGGAACCAAAGCCTGAGCCCTGCCACCACAGGCAGGGGGGCCAGGGCCAAAGCCAGAGTCCCAAAGGGGTGGGGGGGGGGGCAAAGCTGAATCCCAAGGGCTTCATCCCCAGGCCTGTAACTTGAGTCCCATCCCCCCACTCAGGGCTGAAGCCCTTGAGCTTTGGCCCCGGGCAGTGGAGCTCAGGCTTCAGCCCTAGGCCCCAGCAAGGCTAGTGCCAGCCCTTGGCGACCCCATTAAAACGGAGTCAGGACCCCCAGTTTGAGAACCGCCGCTCTACAATATCTTTGCCTGCAAAGGTTAGTCCAGGCATGTTCCTCCCCCGCCCGCTCCTTACAGGAGTATTTCAGTTCCCCACTGGCTCTGGAGAGAAGGGGGCCGGGGTGGATCCTCTGCTGGGCCGTGGGGCAGGCGTGATTCCCTCAGCGCTGGCTTGCAGGCAGCCCTGCTCCGCTCTGCAGCGCAGTCTCCTTCTTTGCAGGGTCCCCAGGGAGCCCACCCAGGAATCACACCGAGCTCTGGGGGAAGTTACATGCACCCTCCCCTGCAATTCCCAGCAGACAACAGGCTCCTTCATCTGGCTTTTATGGCAAAGGGCCTTGTGAGGGTGATCTTGGGCCCCACCCACACTGGGTTGGTGACCAGCCATTGGTGGAGCCGATGAGTGGCAGGGAACTTCGCAGCCTGCCCTTCCATAAAAGGCTGGTTGTTCTGCACCACTGGCCTGCGGCCGGGGAGCGCTGGTCATCTTGTTGGGATCCAGGAAGTGGGCGGGCAGGGATGCCAACTGTCTAATCACACAAACCCAAACACCCTTGCCATGCCTCCTGCCCCGCCCCTTCCCTGAGGCCCCGCCTCACTCACTCCATCCCCCCCCTCACTTTCAGTGGGCTGGGGCAGGGTGTTGGGGTGCGGGCTCTGGGGCCTGGGCTGGGGAGTTTGGAGTGTGGGAGGGGGCTCTGGGCTGAGCCTGGGGCAGGGGGTATGGGATTTGGGCTCCGGGCTGGGGCAGGGGATTGGGGTGTGGGAAGGGGTGAGGGGTGCAGGCTCTGGGAGGGAGTTAGGGTGCAGGAGGGGGCTCAGGACTGGGGCAGGGTATTGGGGTGTGGAAGGGGGTTTGGGTTGCTGGCTCCAGGAGGGGGCTCAGGACTGGGGCAGGGGGTTGGGGTGTGGGGGGGGGTGAGGAGTGCGGGCTCCAGCGTGGCGGCGCTTGCCTCGTGAGGGGCCAGGGGGCTCTGCGCGCTGGCCCTGCCCGCAGGCACTGCCCCTGCAGCTCCCATTGGCCGCAACTGCCCCCCCCCCCCAGGGGCCACAGGGATGTGCCAGCCGCTTCCCAGAGCGGCACAGGGCCAAGGCAGGCAGGGAGCCTGCCTTAGCCCTGCTGTGCCACCGGACTTTTAGGGCCTAAAATCTCCCGGACTGGCTTCAGTAGCCTCTGGGAGATAGAGCCCGATTCTGGGAGACTCTTGGCGAAACCAAGAGGGTTGGCAACCCTAGTGGTGGGTATCATAGGCTGAGGGAGGCTGTGCCTGGCATGGCCCGGCCCATGCTCTGCCCCCAGGCCCCTCCTGCCACTCCTGGCATTCTGCCTTGGTGCGGGCGGGCAGGGCTGTGACTGTCTGGCCTTCTGTGGGGACTCAGGGTGGGTGATGCTCGGGCCGCACTGCCCACCCGGCCCTGTGGCCACACCACCTGGCACACCGGGGCCGTGGTGAGGGTGCTCTGGGCTCCTGTGGGGGAGGGGTGGTAGAACAGGAGGGGGGGGCAGGGTCTTGGGAAGAAGGGGAGGGGCCAAGGGTTAGCCTCCCCCCAACGGCCAGTTCACCGGCCACCCATGGCACTGGCTGGATTCCAGCCCCCACAGCTTTGACATGGGCCCAGCTCGGCTTCAGCCCGAGGGGGAACCTTTCTATACGGAACGAGCCAAGAGCAGCATCACCAGAATGGATCCCAGTGGCCAGCACCAGATGCTTCAGAGGAAGGTGCAAGAGCCACATAGTAGCAGCTGTCGGATAATCTGCCCCCCCGTAGGTCTCATCCTGGTCTCTAATAGAGACTGGCTTAAGCTCTGAGGCAGGAGGGTTAATATCCCTGCTAGCACGAATTAGGATAACTCGGGATTTTCTGATATCCACGGAAATGTCCAACCTTTTTTTGAATCTCGCAAGGTTCCTGGCGTCAGGGGTTTCGGTGGCAGTGAGTTCCACGGGCTAATGAACTGTGGTGTGGAAGTGTGTCCCTCGGTCAGTGTTAAGAATTGGATTGTGTCCGAACCCGTCTCCAACAGAGCTTTGTGCCCTGCCAGGCAGCCCAGGAGCGCAGGGAGGCCGCAGTTAAGCCAAGCACGGGCATTGGCCAGGATGCTCTGGGTTGTGACGTTATGTAAAGGCATCTGAAGAATGACCAAAGGGGCAATGGGAGGAGGGTGGATTGATTTCGGACCCCAGCTGGCGATCAGCATGGAGCATGCCACACTGCATTGCCGGGGGAGATTATCCGAGATCACGGTGTGCCAAGTGCAGCCTGAGAGGCCATCGTAACAATGCTTAGGGCAGCATTCCCGTCTGGGCGGGCGCTCGCGGGAAGAGCTTGGGAGGGGGAAGGGAACGCTGTACATTTGTTTTGGCCCTGTGTGTGGGCAGATGTCAGGCCACAGCCACACCCTGAGAGAGTTTGTTTCCTGCGCAGCCTACAGCCCACATCCCCCCTTAGACCTTCCCAGGTCTCCAGGGGGAAGTTCCCAATGTGCCTTGTACCGTGTGAGGAAAACACCCAGAGTCCTCTGTTTTCAGCTCCAGCAACCCAGATTCTCCCGGCTTCAAATACACCTGTGCAGGGCGGGAGCAATGACCGGCCCCACTGGGCCCGACTGTTCAGGGATTCCTAGATGTAACGCCACAAGGGAGCATTGCAATCTTCCCGCCTGAGCTCCTGCCTGCCCCAGGCGTTCCTGCCCCCAGCCCAGAACTTCTGGGGGAGCGGATGCACATCATTTAGAAAGAGACGTCCCATCTTGACTGCAAGTGGCTGAGATCCCACCACATCCCAAGGCTGAAAGGGCTGAGTCAAGAAAAATGCTGCTGCATGGACCTTGCTGCACCGTGCCAGACTCGGACAGTTCCCAGGACAGAGGTCACTGGGCAACACAGGTGGGGCGTTGGCTGCATGACCCAGGGGCCAGTGCTCCAACCTGGCCGTCAGGAGACGCGGGTTCCACTCTCGGCTCTGGCAATGGCTTGTCTGATCACCTAGGCCACGTGTCCTGTCGGACACCGTAAAGCCCCCCCAGATGGGCTCCCAAAAACGGAGACACTTTGAAAATTGCAAGCCTTAACCACTTCTGTTCCCCACCCCCCTTCCTACGTGCTGGGTGCCCTCTGGACACAAAGAGCCCAGGGTAAGAGCTCATGCCGCACCCCTCGGTCTCCTTGGCATCATGCAGTTTAC